GGCTTTTTTCTTTTTGCTTATGTGGTGCTGAGGAATTGAACCCAGGGCCTCAGGCATGCAAGACAAGCGCTCTACCACTGAGCCACCTTCCCAGCCCATCATGTCCCCAATTCTGAATTTCCCCAATTCCCTCAATCCCAACTCCCATAAACTTTTTTTTTTGGGGTCCGGTCATGGGGCCTGAACTCAAGCGCTCTACCACTGAGCCACCTTCCCAGTCCCCATAAACTTCTTAATCACAGACATCCTTGGTGTCCCCAATCTCTGCCCTTTTTTTTTTTTTTTTGGACAATCCTGGGTCTTGAACTCAGGGCCTGGGCACTGACCTGAGCTTCTTTTGCTCAAGGTTAGTACCCTACCACCTGAGCTACAGCCCTACTTCTGGCTTTTTCTGTTTATGTTGTACTAAGGAATAGAACCCAGGACTTCATGAAGGCTAGACAAGCACTTTACCACTAAGCCACATTCCCAAGACTCACAGCCTAGGCTCTGTCCTTAGCTTTAGTACCCAAGGCTAGCAGTCTATTTCAGCCACAGCTCCACTTTCAGTTTTGTGGTTAAGTGGAGATAAGAGTCTCAGGGACTTTCTAGCCAGGCTGGCTTTGAACTGTAATCCTCCGATCTCAGGCACGAACCACTCACTGGTGACTGGCCCAGAGGTCTTGTAATTACTCATATCCCAACATATTCAAATCTTAACCATGGAAGACTGGTCAGTCACTTTAAATCTCACCCATCCCATCTGATTCTCAAATAGCAAAGTACACCCCAATCATAAACCTACAGTTATCTCCAATGATACCCTAATGACTGACCACGGTAGTCTCACCCCACTCAAAGAATGACCGTTCCAGTCACTGGCCCCTATTGACCTAGTTCCATTTCTTCATCTACTAAAGGTCAATCAATATTTAGACCATGACCTAAGGCGTTTATCATGAATACTTAACACGTGATCTAAAGGACATCTTAATAACTTATGGCCCCAACCATTTAACCAAATATTGAATCCCAAAGTCTCCACAGTCCCCACATTATTATTGCCCAAAGAACTAAGAACCTTCAGTCGCTGACCCTCTCAGGCTTTCGATCTTTCAGCCCTCAGACTCACCATGCAAATCAGTACCTTGGAAGAACCATACCTGCCGGGCGCCGGTGATTCACACCTGTAATCCTAGCTACTCAGGAGTCTGAGATCTGAGGGTCGCGGTTCAAAGCCAGCCAGGCAGGCAACTCTGGGAGACTCTGATCTCCCATAAACCAGTCAAAAAATAGGAAGCGGCGCTGTGGCTCAAGTGGTAGAGCGCTCGCCTTGAGCTGAAGAGCTGAGGGACAGCGCCCAGGCCCAGAGTTCAAGCCCCACAACCGACCAAAAATAAAAGAAGAACCACACCTGACCCCCAACCCAGGAGAACCATGATCACCGCCACTGCACTCCCCGCTGCCGGCCGGCCAGCTCCCAGTAACCCTTCATTTACCCCATCCATCCGCTGACACAGCTCCCACCCCTGTCACACACCTCACCCGCCAACCACAAAAGGCTGAGGTGCGCAGTCACTTCCACCCGCGCCCCAGCCCGGCCGCCCCGCCAACATGACCCTTCCGGGAAGCCGTACCGGACCCGCCAGGCCACCGTAGTTCGAGGTCTTTATCCCACCCCGGGGTCCGGCTGGGCCGCGTTTCTCACGGTGACAGCCGACCCCTCTACCTTTGATTGGCACACGCCGTGGAGACGCTCTGCGAACCAATCGCCGTCCGGCCGCGCGCGGACTTTACAAAGAAAGGCATGCTGGGGGATTTCCGCGCTGGGGCAGGGCGTTCAAGATGGCCGCGCCCGTGGAAGGCGCCCCTGGGCCCGGCCATAGCGGACACGGTGCCGTAAGGCACCAGGCAGCCTGGACGCGGACCAGGCTGGTGCGCTCTTCTGTGATCTTGGGGCACCAAGGGCCGAGATGGCCGCTGCTCTTAGATGTTAAGACGCCCACTCCTCCTGTGACAGACATGGTGGTGGCGAACTTTCCCAGCAGCCCACAGGTGGACGAGACCCCATAGCCAGGCACAGCTGGCTAACACCTGTAATTCTACTCAGCAGGCTGAGGGGTGACACCTGAGGATCGCGGTTCAAATCCAGCCTGCGTGGGAAAGTCTGTGAGACCTATCTCCAACGAGTTACTCAGAAAAGGCCGGGAGTGGGCTGTGCCTCAAGTCCTAGAAAAAGAGTGCTCAGGGACAGCACCCAGGCCCAGGGTTCAGGCCCTAGGACTGGCATTTGAACATCTCTATGGCTTTATTTTGCATGTGTCTCACTACTACTATTCCCAAATGCATTATTCGTGTGAACTCTTATCCTGTGCAAAGTTTCTACGGTTATGTTTGGATTCCATCATTTTGCCATTCTCAATTATTTACACTTTCAAGTTCCAGAACTGGAAGTAGCACTGTGTGGCTCATGTGGTAGAGTGCTTGCCTTGACCTGAAGAACTCGACAGAGCCCAGGTCCAGAGTTCAAGTCCCATGACCGACAAAATAAATGAATAAAAATTTCAGAACTAGTGAAATTAAAGGGTATAGAATTTTTGCTGGTATTGCAGTCTGTGAATTAGGAAACAAATGATATATTCCATTAGCTTATACTATGTCACAGTCATATCCTCTGAATTTCTGGGCTTAGAAAATTTGTCTTGGTGGGCTGGGAAGGTGGCTAAACGGTAGAGTGCTTGCCTCACATGGCCCTGGGTTCCATTCCTCAGCAAAAGCTGGAAGTGGCGCTGTGGCTCAAGTGGTACCGTGCTAGCTTGAGCTGAAGAGCTGAGGGACAGCACCCAGACCCAGAGTTCAAGATCCACCCCCCCCCCAAAAATATGGCTTAATAGTAGAGTGCTTGGGGCTGGGAAGGTGGCTCAGTGGTAGAGCGCTTGCCTTGCATGCCTGAGGCCCTGGGTTCGATTCCTCAGCACCACATAAGCAAAAAGAAAAAAGCTGGAAGTGGCGCTGTGGCTCAAGTGGTAGAGCACTAGCCTTGAGCTGAAGAGCTAAGGGACAGTGCCCAGGCCCAGAGTTCAGGCCCCACAACCGGACCCCAAAAAAAAATAGTAGAGTGCTTGCCTAGCACACATGAAGCCATGGGTTTGATTCCTCAGTACCACATAAAACAGAAAAAAGCGAGAAGTGGTACTGAGGCACAAGTGGTATAGTGCTACACTTGAGCAAAAGAAGCCTAGGGATGGTGCACAGGCTCTGAATTCAAACCGCAGGACTGGCAACAATAACAACAACAAAAAGCTTCATATTTAAGCATTAATTGGCCATAAGCTCTGGGATTTAACTCTATGAGAATGTGATATTGGGTGGGTTTCTGATGGTCTCTGTATTGTCTCCTCATGTCTCAAATAGTGTATGGCAAACAAAAGCAACTTCATTAATTGAAAGTGTTTCCTCCTTGGATCCCATCTTGTTTTGCAGTTTCTGGATTATTAAAGAAAATAGAAATGTTTTATTTTTTTATAGTACACAGTTCATATCCTTTCAAAAGCATTTGAAATCACCTATACAATTATCTGGGTTTGTTGTCTTTATGGAACTTATGAATTCCTTTGGGATGTTTTGTTGTTTGCCATCCCCCTTCCTATTATTTACTCAATGTAAGTGTAAGTTCTTTATTCTTTCCAGTGGTTTCTATATTGTTTTGTCAATCCACAGCCTTTAGAAATTTTATACAATTAGTTATGTCACAGACCTACTACATGTGTCTATAATCATTATTGAGTCAGATCACAGTCTACCAATTACCTCTTAAAAGTTTTCTTAGTTGCAAAACTGGTGCTTTGTAAAGGATGCCTTCTGTCCATTATACAAATATTTTAGCCATATGAGTTAACATATGCTAAGCCTGATGCACAGTAAGTAATCAAATTATTACCTATCATTTTTTGTTACCTCTAATAGCAATGCACTGTTAAGTATTTTACATACAAAGATCTCATCTAATGCATATCAATTTACAAGATACTTGCATTTTGTATATTGCCACAATACAGTAACCTTTTGGATCCCTATTTTGAGAATTAAATTGAATATCAAACTAGTTGCCATAGCAATAGACCAGTTATGACCTTTTGAATTCTAAGCTTTTAGGATTGAGAGATGACTAGCACATACAAAAGACTGGAATAAAATAAAGCTGAGTGGTATGTAAGAACTAGGTAATAGGAAGCCTCATTATTATAATTACTGCAAAAAACACAAGTGGTCTCTGTGATGTGTTCTTTTCTGTAAAAAGGTCAGCTGGAACCAGGTGCCAGTGGCTTACACCTATAATTCTAGCTACTCAGGAGGCTGAGATCATGGTTCAAAACCAGCCTGTGCAGGAAAACTCTGTGAGACTCTTATCTCCAATTAACCACAAAATTCCAGAAGTGAAACTGTGGTTCAAATAATAGAGTGCTAGCCTTAAGCAAAAGAGCTCAGGGACAGCGCTCAGGTTCCAAGTTCAAGTCTCAGTAATGGCACAATTAAAAAAAAATGCTCAGCTTGGATGCCTTGTGGGAAATGGAATATTAATGGTACCAAAAATAGACAAAGGAAGAATGGCTAGAAAGCTACAGCCGTGGTCTGGGTGAGTTGAAACAAGACTAAGATGACAACATGAAAAATCAGAGAAAAATTATATAATGCAGAAATATTGGAGACAGAATTATAGGACATGGTGACTGCCTGGATTGGGTCTAGAGAACACCACTCCTACGTGAATTCTCTGATGATGTGTAAGATGTGCATGCTGCCTGAAGCTCTTCTTGCATTCCTTACATTCATAGGGTCTCTCCCCAGTGTGTATCCTCTGATGCTGGGTGAGAGAGCCACAGTAACTGAAAGCCTTCCCACACACGTTACATTCATAGGGTTTCTCTCCAGTATGAACTCTCTGGTGTTGAGTGAGGGATGAATCATTGCTAAAAGCCTTTCCGCATTTGATACATTCATAGGGTTTCTCTCCAGTATGTACTCTCTGATGCTGAGCGAGGTAGGCAATCTGGCTAAAGGCTTTCCTACATTGTTGACATTTGTAAGGTTTTTCTCCAGTGTGAATTCTCTGGTGCTGAGCAAGGTGTGAATTCTGGCTGAAGGCCTTCCCACACTCCTTACATTCATAGGGCCTCTCTCCCGTGTGTATCCTCTGATGTACAGTTAGGTATGCACGCAGGCTAAATGCTTTCCCACACACATTGCATTTATAAGGCTTCTCTCCTGTATGAACTCTGTGGTGCTGGGCAATAGAGGACCTATTGCTGAATGCTTTCCCACATACAATACATTCATAGGGTTTCTCTCCAGTATGAACTCGCTGATGCTGGGCAAGGTAAGCAAACTGGCCAAAGGCTTTCCTACATACCTTACATTCATAAGGCTTTTCTCCAGTGTGAACTCTCAGATGTTGAAGGAGATGTGCATTCTGACTAAAGGCTTTATTACACTCTTTACATTCATAGGGTCTCTCTCCAGTATGAATTCTGTGGTGTTGGACAAGATTGGATCTCTGGCTGAAGGCTTTTCCACATTCTGCACATTTATAGGGTTTCTCCCCAGTATGGATTCTTTGATGAAGCGTGAGGGATGAGCTCTGGGTGAAGACTTTTTCACAATCATTGCACTTCAAAACTTTCTTCCCTGCAAAGACACTTTTGGGCTTAATAGCCATGAAAGCCTTTTTAAAGGTGTTCTTATGAGTGTCCTGGTTATATACTTTCTCCTGTTTTGGAATTATCTGTTGTATGGGAAGCAGGGAGTTCTGATGGAAACTTCCCCAAAATTTGTCATATTCTTGTTCTTGTTTGTTAAGAAGGGCTTCTTCGTAAGTGACTGTTTCTTTTTTACAACTTGTCTTCTCATTTCCTGGTTGTCCCTCCAAATTGCCCTCACATTTGTACTCTTCTTTTAAGCTGGAGTAGTCAAGGCCAATGTCTGCCAATTCTCCTGTTATCTTCTGACATGGCTGTGCTTGACAAAGCTCCTGTTTAGGGGCAAATTCTTCAGGCTCACCCATAGATTTCCAGCCTGAAAAGTGAAAATAAGAATCATGTGGGGGATGGGAAGGTGGCTCAGTGGTAAAGTGCTTGCCTTGCATGCATAAGGCCCTGGGTTCAATTCCTCAGCATCACATAAGCAGAAAAAGCTGGAAGTGGCGCTGTGGCTCAAGTGGTAGAGTGCTAGCCTTGAGCTGAAGAGCTGAGGGACAGCGCCCAGGCCCAGAATTCAGGCTCTACGATCAGACCCAAAAAAAACAAAAACAAAAACACACAAACAAAAATGGTATTTTCCTCTGGATGTGGGGCTTGAATTCAGGGCCTGGGACCTGTCCCTGAGCTTTTTGGCTTAAGGTCAGTGCTCTACCTACTTTGAACCACACACCTCCACATCTGGTTTTTAGTTAGGGAACTGGAAATAAGAGTGCCTGTACTGGTTTTGAACCAAAATCCTCAGATCTCAGCCTCTTGAGTAGCTAGGATTATCGGCATGAGCCACCAGAGTATAGCTTAATTTAAAAACAGAATCATCTGCTCAACCCAGAACAAGCTGGTCATAAGAAGTTACTTGGAAAGGACATAAAATGAAAGTAATACAGGGAAAAGAA